AGCACGACGGACAATTCCCCCATCTGTGCCAAACATGGCGAATCCTACGAGAACGTATCATACATGGCCAGTCAGCACGAAGCATAATCACTCCAATCCCCCAATCCACCAGTCTGTGCAAATCTCTAGTCTGCGCTAAAAAATGCCCATAATTATCCAGTCTACAAAAAGCGAGCAATCTGGACCAAACACGGTCAAATCCGTAGTCTGTGCCACTATTCTGCATCTAAAGCTGCCAATTCATCGTTTGCATCAAAACGACCAATCTCCAGGTCCATAAATCTTACTCTAGCTAAGGCGATTACAGGTGTTCCCGGTAAAACATTTCATTCACTCATACTTAAATATAAACCAAACCGTATGCAAAGCATCAAATCATCAGTTGTGACTGCCCCTTGTGTATTCTTTTCTTTCCAGGATTCAAATGGAACTGCTGGATTTTTAATTGGATCATCGAAAATCCGTGAATTGAGAAACGCCACCAACAGGTCGTTTTCTGTCGATATCTACCAGTACGGAAAAGTGATCGCGCATCTCTTTGAATGTGTGCCAAATATGGACACTGGACATGTCAGACAATGTTTTGATGACGAAGAGCGATAACTCCATGGTTTGACTGCCGCATTTCAAAGTGGAATTAACATACCCAACCGTGGATCTGCTAACAAAATTCACATACTAAGGATATTTATACGTTCAAGAACACAAAGCAAAATAATCATTGAACAAAACAATCGACAAAAATATGAAACTTGGCAAACACACCACTCGTACACATCGCCAAATGAGTAAAATATCAGTACTGAATATATATGAAGTGCAATAAATGAGAAATCTACACCTCAAGGTGCAGGGGAGTAGAATATTACTTTGAAGGTGTAGATAATTTATGATTGTAAAATTAAGATCATTTATTTGTCATATAGGGTGATAAAGAGATGGCCCATTAAGTATGAAGTTAACTCCATAAATTCCTTGATTTCTAATTAATCTAGATATATATCATTGGAATATTATCACTAAATGGAATGTATCTGGAATCAAGGAATTTGGCTTTTGTCTAACTAATTTCTGTAGAAAATTCGGCTTCATGTTTGTAAAGAAAAAATCAGCTAGCGTGTTATGCTGATACTTTGTTGAATATGCTCGATACCCAACAAGAATGTTGTCAGTAAGAAATTCTAGCATGATGATGTCATTAACAGTGCGAAAACGTTTTGCAATGTGTATTATATATATTTAATCTCATTAAAATCTGTCATAGAATTATCGGACGCCAGTTATATAAAATTATCAATTATTTTAGAAAAAATGAAAAAAAAGTGGGTTTCTTGTCTAAAGTCGGTTTTCACTTAATGATGTAAATAATATATGCGAATACTGCGTCATTGCATGCTCAGTCATGGTTATCTCACATTCTCGCATTATACTGCATTTTATTCAAAATTATGTGAATTGCTAATTTCAGCTCACAAGGTATGTTATGACAGGGCTTGCAGGAATGTGTCCTTTCTAATGAAAAGGATATTTACTTTCATTTTTGTCAACAAGATTAGAGGATTCGAGCACAATATGATAATACAATAGGACATTGCTGATCTCACAATTGATGATATGATAATACAATAGGACACTGCTGATATCACAATTGATGATATGATAATACAATAGGACATTGCTGATATCACAATTGATATGATAATACAATAATTGCTGATATCACAATTGATGATATGGTAATACAATAGGACACTGCTGATATCACAATTGATGATATGATAATACAATAGGACATTGCTGATATCACAATTGATGATATGATAATACAATAGGACATTGCTGATATCACAATTGATGATATGATAATACAATAGGACACTGCTGATATCACAATTGATGATATGATAATACAATAGGACATTGCTGATATCACAATTGATGATATGATAATACAATAGGACATTGCTGATATCACAATTGATGATATAATAATACAATAGGACACTGCTGATATCACATTCGATGATATGATAATACAATAGGACACTGCTGATATCACAATTGATGATATGATAATACAATAGGACACTGCTGATATCACAATTGATGTGATAATACAATAGAACACTGCTGATATCATAATTGATGATATGATAATACAATTGGAGACTGCTGATGATATGATAATTCAATAGGACATTGCTGATATCGCAATTGATGATATGATAATTCAATAGGACATTGCTGATATCACAATTGATGATATGATAATACAATAAGACATTGCTGATATCATAATTGATGATATTATAATTCAATATGACATTGCTGATATCACAATTGATGATATGATAATTCAATAGGACATTGCTGATGATATGATAATACAATAGGACACTGCTGATGATATGATAATTCAATAGGACATTGCTGATATCACAATCGATGATATGACAATGCAATAGAACACTGATGTTATCACAATTGATGATATGATAATACAATAGGACAATGCTGATGATATGATAATACAATATGACACTTCTGATATCACAATTGATGATATGATAATGCAATAGAACACTGCTGATATCACAATTGATGATATGATAATACAATAGGACATTGCTGATATCGCAATTGATGATATGATA